CAGGCATTTAAGAATAGAATAATATTTTCAATTTGCTTATAATTTTGTTCGGTTGAATAATAAAGCATTAATTTTTCATACATATTTATGGATTGTTTTAAAAAATATAATGGATTTTAAAACCATTTAATATAATAATGGTAAAAAATCCAATTATTATTAATTGTGAACTTTAATATAAATTCCGGCCGACGATATGTGTAGTTTACTTACTTTTGGCTCAAATCATGGTTCAAACTTCAAATTTCCATCAGTTTTATTTTCGTTGTCGCATTATTTGCATAGTTTTTTTTTATATTACAGAAATGTAGTTTATTTGTAAAACAGGAAAACATGTCTTATGAAATGCTATCTATGAGATTGTCTAATTACAGTTTGCACTAAAATTCTATTACAGCACATGGTTTCACATTTGCTCGACATTCCAAGCAACCGTATTACGGTGCGGGTCAAGCGCATGGGCGGCGGATTTGGCGGTAAGGAATCAAGGGCGATGATGGTGTCCCTTCCTGTTTGTTTAGCCGCTTCCAAATTGCGCAGACCTGTTCGACTAATGCTTGATAGAGACGAAGACATGGCTATATCTGGCACGAGACATCCATTCCTTTGCAAATATAAAGCTTCTTATAATAAAGATGGCAAGATTACGGCGTGCGATATTAAAATTTATAATAATGGAGGTTATTCCATGGATTTGTCTTGCTCGGTAAGCTTGAAAGTAGCCGTGTATTTACTAATAACCGTTTATTTTTTCATGTGAATTACTCAGATTCATTTACCATTTTTATTATTTTTTACTACCAGGTTCTTGAACGCGCTATGTTCCATTTTGAAAATTCCTACTTCATTCCTATAGTTCGTGTCCATGCCTGGGTGTGCCGTACAAATTTACCTTCTAATACAGCCTTTGGGCTTCGGTGGCCCCCAAGGTATGTTTGCAGGTGAACATATAGTGCGTCAGGTGGCCCATGCGTTACGCCGTGATTATATTGAGGTAATGCGCTTGAACCTCTACACTGAAAAGCAACTAACTCATTACAACCAATGCCTGGGAACTGCAGATTACAAATGTGCTGGGATGAATGTCTCAAAAACGCGAATTTTGATCGAAGGCGATCCCAAATCGCCGAATTTAACAAAATGAACCGCTGGAGAAAACGTGGCATTAGTGTTGTACCAACTAAGTTTGGTATTGCTTTCACAGCATTATTTTTAATCAAGCTGGTGCGTTGTTACATGTTTATAAAGATGGGTCCGTACTCCTTTCTCACGGTGGAACAGAAATGGGCCAAGGGTTACATACAAAGATGATACAAGTTGCTGCACGGGCTTTAGATATTTCACCAGATTTGATACATATTTCTGAAACTTCAACCGACAAAGTTCCCAATACATCAGCCACAGCTGCTAGCGCTGGATCAGATCTTAATGGGATGGCTGTTTTAGACGCTTGTAACAAAATTAACGATCGTTTATCCGTTTATAAAAAATCCATGCCCGATAAAGATTGGTTCGCTTGGATAGCACAAGCATACATGGATCGAGTAGGGCTTTCAGCAACTGGCTTCTACGCGACCCCAAATATTGGTTATGATTTTGCGACCAATTCAGGAAATCCCTTCAACTATTTTACATATGGAGTGGCTTGCAGTGAAGTAGAAATTGATTGCCTGACAGGTGACCATCAGGTGGTTCGTACAGATATCGTGATGGATTTGGGATCGAGTATCAATCCTGCGATTGATATCGGTCAAGTTGAAGGAGGTTTTATGCAAGGGTATGGATTATTCACTATCGAAGAGATGATCTATTCCCCGCAAGGTATGGTGATGTCAAGAGGACCTGGTGTTTATAAGTTGCCTGGTTTTGGAGATATTCCAACAGTGTTTAACGTATCGCTTCTGAAAGGAGCTCCGAACCCTAGGGCTGTATATTCTTCAAAGGTAATGGTATTAAATTTTAAGTATATTCATTAATGGAGAAATCTAATATTATTTAATCGTTCAGGCTGTTGGAGAGCCTCCTCTATTTTTGGCGTCTTCCATATTCTTTGCCATAAAAGAAGCTATTTCAGCTGCTCGAAGTGATTCTGGTTTGAACGAATATTTCTATTTAGAATCTCCTGCAACTGCAGCAAGAATACGCATGGCTTGTCAAGATAACATAACTCGCAAGGTACCAATTTTTCTAACGCTATGGATTTTTATAACAATTTAACCAAGATTTTTATTAATAATTTTCTATATTTTTTTAATAGTTTGTAGCAGCAAAGGAGGGTTCGTTTACACCTTGGAACGTTGTGCCATAAATATAAAAGTAACAAAAATTTAAATTTTATTTAGAACGTGGTATATACGTAGTCAAATATATTACCAATTTAATTTAATTATTAGAGTATTGTTATTATGTTAGATTTATTTAGACCATGTATATTTTCACATGGAAGCCATATTATATGTGATTATGATAATTTTATATGTAATATATATTTATAATTATAGATTTTCTCAAATTGATATTAAATAGTACGTATTTTATATATTAAATACAAATACACAAGTTACCTTCTGAAATAAAATGCTATATTGAAAATTAGAAATTTATTTCTTCTGAAAATGAAACATTAAACGGTCACGATCATTGCTGATGAGGGAAAAGGAAATCAGATACACAGTTTTGAACATTTCACACCCTATTAATTTTTCGGCCAACTCTTCTAGTCGATTCTGGTCTCATGCTGGGAGTTAAAATTCCACAGAATTTTTCGAATTGAATTATTTCGACTTGTTTATTTTTATGACGTTCCATAAATTCTATAGCGGCTGTGTAAAAAAAAGTTTACATATTACTTTACTTAAAAACGACAAATTTCATTCCCCTTTATATTACCTTTCAACCTAAATTTATAAGTAATTTTTCCTTTGATTATGTACTGGGCAATTGTTTTACTATGTTGCATGTTAAGTTTGTTAGCTACAGACTTCTGGGCGAGTTCTTTCAGGAGCGCTTCTTCTTTAAATGTTAAATCTTTGTTGCTCTGAAAGTCAAGTTAGAAATTTTGTTTGAAGATGTTAAAAATCTTGAACTAAAATAAACTAAAATATATTACTGTTTTTGTTATTTCTTTTCTAAGCGCCATGAACGTGTTGAAAACTTTATGGGAATCCAGTCCTGAATGTTTTAATCGTTCATCGAGTTTCTAAAAAAGGTTAAGCATATAATAAGAATATACAAATTCAAATTATGTTTTATTATAGTAATTGTTCATTCACCTCATATGAAGACATAGCTTTTCTGGATACTTGTCCGGTTTCCATAAATGTAATCAGATTTAAAAAACTATCGAGAATTCCATCATTTTCGATTCTTCGGTTCACAATTGCTTCCACCAACCTGAGAAAATATTGTTTGACGTGGGGAAAACATCTCGTCTAAAATCAAAGTAAAATCTTGATAATAAATTGCACTATACAGGTAACTTGTATTTTTAGACCACCATATTATTTTATTTAAAGAATGAGAAATAATGATTTTATAAAATGTTCATATTTTTTTTAAATAAACAATCGAACATTTTGATTTTTTTTAAATCTTTTTAAATGTAAATGAAACGACATTGCTCAAGTATATACGGTATATATTATACCCATAAATGAACATGATTATACCAAATACAATTGACAACATTGTATTCGGTAAGAACAAATTGATAACATTGAGTATTTCATAAGAATTTTTGAATTTTTCAATATCAGACTTGACTATTTGTAGGTTTATGCTCGATTTTATTACTTTTCTTTCATTTAAAAATCAACGTTTCTGTTAAAATAATATAATATCGTGCTTATTTACTAATTGTCAGTAAGCAAATGTAAGAATTATATGCAATTGTGTATAGGATTATAGAACTAACCTTTATGTCCAGCAGTTTTTTTTATACAATATAAATAAATTGTTAAAAAGTAAATTATTTATGATTTAGTTAATTAATATATTGAAATTGTTTACCTCATCCGACAAACGTAGAATCAATTGTCCTTGAACTGTTGTTAAAACTTTGGTCCATACCATAGCCTAAAAATATTACAAAAAATAAAAAATGTATAGTTAGTAAAAATGAATACACTTTAGAAAGATAATAATATTGATCAATGAGTGTGTATAACTTTTTGGAAAATGATGAAAGACTTAAGTTTGAATATAAAAGTGTATTATATTATAAAATAATCTAAATATAATTATATAATTATATACAACATAGTTACAAAATAACAAAATATTAAATAAAGAACTAGTATTAGAGATTGTGGGAATCCATCAACGTTACACATGTATATTATATTTCTTTCATTTGTAACAATGTTGAATTAAAAAAAAAAAATTATTAGTGTGTCTTATATTTAAAATAATTATATACGATTTAATCAGAAATAAGAAAAATACTCGCTGATATTTTTTAAAATTTATCTGTCAATGATAAAAAGTAAATTCATTCAATATTTGAAATAGTTGAACAAAAAAATCGTTTGTATTAATAGTTCCCGAAGAAGATAGTTTTTTCAAACACATAGATTATGTAAATTTTTATAAGTTTAGAGAAATAAAATTATAAATATAATTATATTGGGCACTCCGAAAAAGGTTTTATTTAAATATTTACCTCATTCAAAGCTGCCCGGACATAGTGGCAGAAGACATAATCTCGATTCATTTTATAACAATCGTCAACTGTATGTCCAAGAACAAAGAAAAATTCCGACAGCTTCATATTCAATTGTAATTCAATTAACTTTTCTTCTACATCGTCTGGATCTGCTTCAAAGCTCTCCACATTTAAAGTACCAAAGTCGAAACAATGTTTAAACTGTGCTACTGTGATATCGGGAATTGCCTGAAAGAATAAAGGAAAAAATCGAAAATTTGTAAATATATGTGAATGATTTTATGAAAATTATTAACTGTTTGTTTGTATCTTGCGCATTTTTCATCTAGTTCGGAGGAGGTAAGGGACAATTCGCCATCTTTTAATACATCAATTGTATCAACTTTAATTTCAGTTGATTTTTTAGTTTCAACTGCTTTCATTGCGTCGTTAGTTTCTGGTAAAACACTGGGGTCTGGTAGTTGCTCATCAACTGAAGCTGGCGAAATAATGGATTCCCTGAAAGGTAATAAAATACTAAATATTTTAAACATAATTTACATGTATAGTCATATATATATATATATATATATATATGTGTGTGTATATGTAAAAATTGGACTAGCCTTTCCAAGTCTGATTCGTCATCAGGTATTTCCAAATCACCGGAACTCCACAAACCTGGAAAAAGTTTTGATGCCCTGGAAATTGAAGAACAATATTTCAGTTTATATTATTAACTGATTTTCAATTTGATACAGAAAAACTTTTCAAGCACGTTTGATTGTGAATATTAGTTACTTCAAGTTATTTTCCCGTTACGAAGTCTAGAGTAGTCAAAATCAAATAACTGAAAAATTATTTTTACAAATTAGCTACATCTTTTTAAGAAAATATATTCGTTATGAATCGTAAAATTGGTGATATAATGCAGAAGTAATACTTATAATTTAATCAATAATCGTTTAACTAAACAAATTATTCTGAACCTTTGATATTTCAATTTATCTGGAATAACTTTAGTGGATAGGCCATCAAATTCAGATTCTTGTTCGACATCAGGAAATGATACTGTAGCCGGAGAAACTCTAGAAATAAATTTCTAAATTGAATAAATCAATGTCAAAATCAATATAATCTAATAATCAATCAATTGAAAATGTATTGTTCAATATTTCAGATTATTAAATGTAAGGCTACTACTTGGTATCCTTTGGTTCTTCAAATTGAACTTCTTTTTGTTCAATTTCATTTATTGAGTCTTCCGTTTCCGCAGATTCTGCTTGAGGCTCGGGGTTTGCTACGGGTCTTAGATTTAAGGAAAAAAATATATTAAAATATAGATTTTAATGATTTAGCAAATTTACTATATTGTATACTGACTCCATATCGAAGTCCACAATTGAACCTTCAGGATCCATTTGTATGCCCACATCATGGCTATGAGATTCCTTAACTGTCTCTATATTTTTTTCTGCGTCTATGGAAGTTGAGGATCGGTGACTCCTGAAAATGTTTATTTAATTGAAGTTAACAAAATGGTTTACATATTCAACTCAATCTATGTTGAAAAATACTTTATAGATCCGTTTTCATCCAAGTCTGGCGGTTCTGATTGAACACCAACTTCTGCTTTGTGCTCACCGACATAACAATTGAATGGGCATGTTTTTCCTAAAGACTTACTGCTTGTTTTGAATTCAACCTGATGATTTTCATCTTTACAAATCGTTTCTTTCTCTTGTTCCTTTTCGGACGATATTAGCGCTGGATTTAAAGTGAGATCGTTTATAATTTTGTCCATATATCTGGTAGTTTTTCTTCTATCCAATGACTTATTTTTACTTTCGTTACTTGGTTTGCAAGATACACGCCGTAACTTTGGTTTCTTGGGTGTATTTGTGATTTCTTTATCCATTGTAAACTAGAATAATTTTTGTAATCTGAATTGCAGGCTATACGCCCGTAGGATTATTTATATTTGGATTAATTCGTAGTTGAAATGGGGACTTTAGTATTTTCATAATCTGCACTAAAGTCAAATAAACTAAACTAAAATACTAAAGTCCACATTTCAACTACGAATATGTAGAAAATAATAGAGATTTGTTATACGTTTAATAAAACCATCGTATCAAATACTACTGGTTAAAGTTTACTAATTTTTGCAATTGATGTCGTTGCACTGGACCAGTGAAACGGCTATTTAAATACATGATTTTAAGCGATTTGTTAAGAAATGTAATTAATGCTTGTTATATATCTACTTTTTTCTTTTGTTGGATTGCATATTAAAATATTGTAAAGATCTAGAAAATAATTAACACAATTCCTGAAATGTATTTATTACATTCGTACCTTATTCATAGTATATTCCTCACTTTCAGGCTTTGACACGTATTGTGCAGTTTGTTCTTCATTTTTCATTCTTACAGGTGTAGTAAAAGCACATACAGGTTTCAGTTCAATATGAGAAGGACATGCGGCGATAACTTTTGTATCCGCTTCTGAATGCTCTACATAATTTGATAATGAATTATTCTGCTTTGCGGCCAATATAACTTTACATTCATGATTTATACGATCCTCATCTACTATTATTGAAAAATCGTCGCATTCCAAAACCTTGGAATTAGCATTGAAAGATTTGAGAGCTTTTGGATAAATGTGATGTGGTGATTGTGCTGGCAACGGCATTGTACATTGCATAACTAATACGTTAG